AAAGCATTCTTACTTTACAGCATTTTTTCACACCTGCCTAAAACTTCTGCACAGTACTGTATGTGGACAAGAAAATTAGTGACCTTTAGTTGGAAGACAATTTGGCTCAGAAGTTACTTTTATAGACATATTTCCAAGCCTATCTTAGAAGTTTTAATATTTCTGTTTGTCCAGACTAGGAGTTATTACATTCATCTGTACATTTTAAATGCTATTTGAAAGCAAAAAGAGATTTATACCTTATTTAAATCACCCTGACAATGTGTAGAAGCAATGTATTGGTAGGCAGGTAGGTAGGAAGGAAGGGGACCTTCAACTGATTTTGGAATGTTTCTGAATGGGAGATTCCTGCTGGCTTGTGTTTACAATAATATGTTACCCCTTGTTGAAAGATTTCAGATCATGAACAGGGTTTGTGTTCTCTATCATGGCTCATTCTAGTAAAGAACAGGTGGGTCGATTCTATATTTATAACAACAATTGCCCTTAGGTACTAAAGGTTTGACTTTTGTCCCCATCCTTATTCTTCCTCATTATCCTTTTCTTCCACACCCCGATACACCTGATCATAATTTCTCTCTCTTAAATACAATGGGACTTTTGCTATAGAGCATCTTAAAGTAATGATTTTTGTGCCTGGAATGTCCTACGGTATACAGAATGGAGAATCTGGAAGGGTTGCCCCCAAACAGCAAATACTTCAGTAAACAACAATTCAAGGCAGATGAGAAAGGGATAAATCAATTTCAGGTAAGCATGCATCACATTAGGGATAGGGGTGGTTGAAAGTATCTCCTTCAACTAGCAATTTCTTCCATATTTCATCCAAAAATGGCAGAGACTCAATGAATGACAAATTTAAATTGACCTCTTGGATTATATGCAGTTATTATATAGTACCAATGAAGGTCCACAAACCATTAAAGTAATTCCTCTGTCCCAAAAAAGATGCCAGCCATCCCTCTTGGCAAGTTTGCTCATTCCTGGCTGTGGAAAGAGCTGGAATTGAGGCCTATTATGCAATTTAATTTTAGTTATTGAAATGTTTATTACATTTCTAAACTGCCCAACAACTAGATATCCCTGGCTGATACAGCAGATAAACAATGATTTGTTTAAAAGTGCATCATCAAACTAAGACAAAGACCAGCTGAATGGGGTAAGAAGATATGGGAGGACCCATGAACATCCAGGATTACATGCTAGTGATTGTGCATACACAGCTTGTGGTTGGCTTCAATTCTTTGGGGAAAATTATATATATACAAAGAAATATGGACATCCTTGGTCTACAGGACTAAGGAAAGCCCCAGCAGTATGCTATTACTCTAAAGACAACCAGACATAATCACAGGGAAGTTTTACTGGCTGTCAAATCCAGATTTAAATAAACATTATTTATTTTGCTTATATACCACTTCAGTCATTGCCAACTGTAAGTGGTTTATTTACCTGATATTTGTTAACTAAAATTTAAAAAATACAATCAGAATCAACAAATAAGACTATTCACAATACACCAGGGAACAATTAAAATTCTATCATAAACATTCCAGTACAAGAAGGAACAACATATCACATATCCACTTCCACAGTCTACTGAAACAGACAAGTTCTGATGGCTTTCCTGAATCTCAGCAGAGTTGGGGCCAGTTGGACAAGGGGGTTGCTATTCCAGAGATTGGTGAGGGAGTGGAGTAGCTGAGAAGATCTACCTCCTTAGTTCTTGCTGATGGTATTCTCTGAAGGAAAAGATCCAAAGAGTTAGGGGGCTGCTTATTTTTTTTAATCTTATTGGACAAACAAAAACAATTGGGAGAAGGTGAACCTGAAGATATCCAGATCCTGAGCCATGTAGGGTTTTAAAGGTAACAACCAGCACACTGAGCTGCACCCAGAGCCAACTGCTAACCAATGTAGATCTTGAAGTAGAGGTGTTGTATGGCTGAACTAAATGCGCCCATAAGTACTCAAGCTGCCACATTCTGGACTAGCTGTAGCTTCCAAGTGGTCTTCAATGGCAACTCCAAATGGAGTGTCTTGTAATAGCCCAAACGAGGTGACTGAGGCATGAGGACAGTGTAATTCAGTGTAGAGGAGTATAGGCATAATCTTGAAGAATATATGCAAGGGCAGTTACCTAAACATCAGGTTAGCCCTCAAAGAGAGGAGGGGGTGAGAAAGAAACTCAAGATTGGCCTGCCTTGATTCTCTTTGGTACAGGAGGGTAGAAGAGAGAAACTCTTTCTATTCAGTTCTGGTAGTCCTTGAGGAGTCTGCACCTGTCAGCCCTAGAAGGTAGACAGTCCAGGAAACTGATTTCACAGGATAAGTAGAACTATACTTTATTGAGATAAGCTATAGTAACAGAATCTTGCAAATTTGCAGATAGATGGCTTCTCCAAGTCATTTCCATGGCTCCCTACACCATCCTGGCCTGGCCTACCTGAAAGGGCTGACATGTAGTGCCAGCTAGGAATTCTGAGAATTGTAATCTCAAACACTTCTAGAAAGTATCATGTTGGGGAAGGTTGTTTAGAGATTGCTTGGATTCAGACATCACACTGAGCCAAAGTGTTTGGCTTTGGGTTATCATGTTAAATGAATTCAGCAAATTGTAGCTTAATCAAAAAACATGTTTAAACAAACCACAGCTTAGTGTGATGCATGAACCCAATCATAGGTTCCAATCTAGATCTAGGCATTTTAGTTACAAATGTGAATGGGTTTCCGGTGGATTGGGCGTCAACAATTTTAAGGGAAAGAGGGATCCAATTTTCTAATAAAAATGCAATAAAGCAGTGCAGGCTAGTTTTATAATCCAGGAAAATAGGGTAATGTTATTTAATTATTTACAACTTTTATTGGCCATTTCAGTCCCACAGAATTCTAGGTGTTATATGTCTAAAATATAGTAAGAGTAAAATATAATACAGAACACTAATAATACAATAATAATAATAATAATAATAATAATTTTGACACTGATCACTCCATAGTCCGTTCCCAAAAGCCTTCCAAGCTTTTATTAGCCTTCTGAAGACCCTGAGAAGGGAAACCCTTTGGGGAGGGGGGCAGGCTGATCCAAAGGAAGGGAGTCCCTCAGAGAACGCTTACAGTCACATTCTCTCCCACTGCACCTTGATATAGGAGGGAACTTTAAAAAGACACCCTTGGTTATCCGGATTGGGTGGGGAGAATCTATGTGGGAAAAGCAGCCTCGGGTATGGCTCAGTCTCAGCCATATAGGGCTTTATAGACAATGACCAGGACCATGAAATGCACTCGGAAACATACCTATAAATAGTGTTACTCCCACATCAGTGATGTGACATGGCAGCAGTATGAATCATCAGTAAGCACATGAGCCATTGCATTTTGGACCAACTGAAGCTTCTGGGTGGCCTTCAAAGGCACCCCCATGCAAATTAGAGTAACCTAGATGGCTAGCATCTCATTTCAATACTTACTGTTACAGTGAAATGGCCTACAGGGGTTGTAAGATAACATGATTAGGCCATACCTGCTGTAGAATCAGACTTACAATGATTGGTCAATAGTCTAATGGTTTATCTTGAAATGCAGAAAAACAGACATCTGGTCCTCCAGATATGCTGTATCATGATCTACCCCAGTCAGCATGGCCAATAGTCTTCTGTAATGGAAGTTTTAGTCAAGCAACATCTAGAGGACCACAGGCTTCCCCCTTTTGCTCTATAACACACATTATTGTTTACTGTGTTTACCTGAAAAGAAGACAACCCTGACTTTAAGACTCCCTTCCCAAAGATTTCCTTTAAAAGACTCCCTCCCCATACCTTGGGGAATATATGGTTATTCACTATAGAAGAAATTAATCTTGGAGATTGTTTCCCATGCCCAATAAATGTGCATGTGTGACACACACACAAATGCATAAAACTTGTATGCATTTATGTGTGTACGCATACACGCAGACAGCACATACATACAGTACATATACACACTCTAAAGAAGGATAAGGACAAAAAAAATCTAACATTGAATTAATTACTAATTCAGATTAGCTGACTGTAAAATAAGGTGCCCTACTCTCATATTCCAACCATTCTCTCTCATATGCACAAACCACTGTGACACAGAAATACAAAAGCATACATGCAGACATACACATACAGTCCTCTCCCTACAGTTTACACACTTATATCAGAAGTCAGGATGCAAGCAGTGCCATCCACCAGGACACCAAGGAGGTCAGACTAAGGAAGACTGCAGTGTTGCAGTCTTGTGATGCAAGCCCTGTCCCTTTTCTACATGAGTTGCAATGTTACTTGTCCACCCAAAAGAGCTGGAGCTTTTGGAGAAATTACGGAATTTGGGGATAATTTTACAAAATGGGTGGGGTCAATATATAGACCACAAAAAGTGGTGAATTATAGTGAATGGGGATTACCACCACCATGCAACATTCAAAAAGGAGCGAGACAAGGATGTCCCTTGTCCTCACTTCTATTTATATTAGTTCTGGAAGTTCTGAACAGAGATATAAGAAAAGAAGATGGGATAAAAGGAATTAAGGTAAAAAGTGAGATATATAAGCTAAGATCATTTGCTGATGATGTGGTATTGATGATACAAGACCCGCTGAAAGGGGTAGAGATATTAATGAATAAATTAAAGGAATTTGGTTCATTGGTGGGCTTCAGAGTTAATAAACATAAAACAAAAATGTTAACAACAAATATGGGATCACAAGACCAAACTAAATTGATGACTAAAGCCAGCTTTAACATAGATTTAAAAAGTGAAATATTTAGGTATTACTTTAACAAATATGAATTATATGTTGTATCAGAACAATTATGTAAAAACATGGAATGAAGTGGGAAAAGACCTTGTTAGATGGGAAAAATTACATCAGTCTTTATTGGGGAGAATTGCTGTGGTAAAAATGAACATCCTATCAAGAACGTTATTCTTATTCGAAACAATACCGGTATTAACCATGGAACTACTGTTTAAACAATGGCAGCGGGAGATATCAAAATTTATTTGGCAAGGGAAAAAACCTAGAGTGAAATTTAAAATTCTGTGTTATGCAAAAGAGAAGAGAGGTTTAGCCCTACCGAACTTAAAATTATATTTAGCAACATCTTGCTTAGTTTGGGCAAAAGAATGGTTAACATTAAGAGATACAAGACTTAAACTTAAAGGCCATGACTTGAGATTTGGGTGGCATGCCTATCTGTGTTATAATATGGTTAAGGCCAACACGGACTTTAGAAATTATTATATTAGATGGGCCATCCTAAGAATATGGAATAAATACAAATCTAGAATATGTCCCAAGCTACCTCTATGGTTATCTCCACATGAAGCATATCATAGAACAGAGATGATGGGGAATTACAATTGGATAAGATATAGGGATCTGTTGGAATATCATCAAGGGGATATCAGATTGAAAATGAGAGAAAATTTGACCTCATTAGGCTTTGAGTGCCATTGGTTTTTATATATGCAGTTATCAGAAAGATTCAAAGTTGATAAGAAATTATATGAAGTTGAAAGGGATAAAACTACATTTGAGATTGAATTATGTTTAAATGATGATCATTTTATAACTAAAATGTATAAATTATTGTTAACTTTGGAAATGGAAGAGGAATTAGTAAAAGATTGCATGATAAAATGGGCAAAAAATTTCCAGTATAATATCCAAACTCAACAATGGGAGAATATGTGGTTAAAGGGTCTCAAAATCTTAAAAATTTTACAAGATGATGTTTAGATGGTATCTGACACCAGTTAAACTCTCCAAAATGTACAAAGGAATATCGAATACCTGTTGGAAATGCAAAAGACAGGAAGGAACCTTTTATCATCTTTGGTGGTCCTGTAAAAATGTAAAAAAATATTGGGTGGATATACATACAGTTATACAAAAAATTTTGAAAATGCACATCCATTTGAAATCAAGAATCTTTTTATTGGAGATGATGGATACATATTTAGAAAAAGAACATGGGACTCTAATTCTTACATGACAATGGCCACAAGAAAGCTGCTGGCTCAATACTGGAAAGGTCAGGTATTACCTACATTAGAGGAATGGATAGTTAAATTGTTGGAACTCGCGACGATGGCAAAATTGACAGCGATCATAAAGGAAAAAACACTGAAAAAAATTAAGAAGGACTGGAAGCCTTTTACTGACTTCTTGTACGAAACTGAACATAATCAAATAGTGACATATGGGTTTGATGATTCGTTATAATAATAGGCTATTGGGAAAAGTAGAAGTCTTTTTATAAAGTTAAACAAGGTTGTATGAAAAGGTTTTGGTATATCTCTTTTGCAAAGGAAGTTGTAAGTCATTGCGTTAAATGTTCGTATATGTTTGTATTATTTCTTCTACTGTTTTTCTTTAACTCTTTTAATCTGTATTTTTTTTTCCTTTTGTTTTCTCAGTGTGTACATTATGAAAAATAAAAATAATTGGTAAATAAAGAGTTGGAGCTTGTGATGTGACGCTGCAATTGTGGTATGACAGTATGACACCACAATTCTGATGAAAGCAAGATCGTGTGAATGACGCTGGTCACAATACTTAATGGTGACATTTGCAGGATTGCGTCATTGCAAAAATGTCATTTTGGCATCACTTTGGTTTACCTGAGATACTGCACCCAAAATTCATAGGAAATTATTTGAGGAAAATTTTTTTATGGTAAATGAGGAATCTCAGATCTTATGTAGGAATCCATTTCTCTAGCACTAGAGTATCCTCTAGTTAATACTAAAAATCACATTTAAGTGATTTTCAACACTCAGCAGTGTATCTCTGCTGATATGAGTAGCCATTCTATCTTTACTGACAAAGGGAAACAAGGCACATCTGATGTACCCTGACAAACACCATCCAATGGGGTAATTCTCTTGCTGCTAAGCAGGTTTGTGTTGCATCGCTACCTGGATAGGAGATGCTTGGAATATCATATATGAATTCAATAAAAGAGAGGAGGGGAAAATAACAAAATTAAAATTGCTGTCGTGCTTTGGCATAGCTTTGCACAACTTAGCGTACTGTACTGTAGAGTATAACATTACCCAAAGCAATGAACAACACAGGAGTAGTATTCAGCACAACTTTTTACATAGGTTTTCCTTTCACCTTCACTGTCATTTCTTTGATGTAATTATATAAACATTCTAGCTGCAACCCCAATATTCAAGAACCCAATTGTGTTTTCTCTGACAAATTAGTTTATTGGATTTCTATGCAAATCCTGCCCTGTGTGATCTTCTGCCTATTGGACTGAATGTAAATTTCAGAGGCCAAGCAAGGAGAGCAGACAAAAGGCAACAACAGCTTTCAGTGAGGGACAAATAAGATGAAGTGCATTCCAAAGTTTGTTCCAGGATTTGGCAAAACGTAGCTTTCAAGGTAAAGGTGGCTTGCCCTCCTGTAGGATGCACCAAGCTTTGCAGTGTTAATGCAGGATTGCAGAATGGAGCATGGGCTACATCAGAGGCAACCCAAGAACTGGTTCACATGAGTGCAGGCCACAAAACCCCAGCTTGGTGCACTGTGAGAAGACACGCAGCATTTAAAGGATGCTCATCCCTTGCCAAATAATGATAGGTGCAGGGACCTGCTCTTAGGAGACATCTCACTCCAGCTCAACTTGGAGGGAAGAGCGTGCTTACTCTTTCTCATGTGCTGAGATCTACACATGAACATAATGCCTAAAGACGGCTATTACTAAATTAATACAGATATAAAGGAGGAATTCCAGAAGATCTTAGCTAAATTCCCTATTATCCAAAGGGTGTAATATTATACAGTATAACAGTTGGGTTTAGTTGCTGGATTGGAACAGGAAAGAGCCCGATACCATTCTCCTTCATGCACTAAAGTTCACTGGGTGAGTTTGGGACAACCTCTCTCAGCCAACCACTTCACAGGATTGTTGTTTTAAGAATTCAGTGAGAGAAAATGATGTGCACCTTATGAGCTTCTTACAATTTTCCAGTGATTTCCCATTGCCTTTACGTTTGGCCAAAGTTCCTCCTTACTTTTACATTCTTCCTAGTGTTTCCTCTCTTCTGCTGTCTCTCAGTGGCCTCATTGTATGACCATTGCTCCTCCAACTCTATAACCACCGTCCATAGCCAAACTGTCTGGCTTACTTACCATCTTTCTCTCTTGCCAGCCCCTCTATCTAGGCCTCCTTCCCAAAACACCAATATGGTGCCACCTTGTCCTTTTCCTTCAAACCCCTCCTCAAACCTCAGCTTTACCAGAAAGACTTGTTTTGCTCCTTATAATCCTCATTTCCTGCCCTCCATATATTCAACAGCATTTGCTCATATCCATTTTTCTGCCTGCAACCTTTCCTTTGTCAAAATTTTGGTTGTAAGATTCTTGGGAGAAGGGAAAGGATTTTTATTCCATTCTTCTCTTGCTTTCTGCTTATCTATTAACATTGACAGCACTTTGGCACTAGCGATAAAGCGATAATTTGCCTTTTCTTTTGTTCACTCTTCTTGTTACTTAATTGTAGTGTGAAATTAGTTCATCTGCTATCAGCCCCCCTTTTTCTCCTCCACCCCCACCTCTGTGCCTTCTGCCAGGTTGGTGACTATGCTGAGAACAGCCTCCCCCAAGATTCATTCCCAGCCTACTTTATCCACCTGTTCTTTTCACCCAAAACTCAGAGATAAGCTAACCTGCTGCCTTTCAGATGTTTTACACTTTAGATTCTACTAAAATGGTCATGGCAAGGGATTGTGGGAGCTGAAGTCCAAAACATTGGGAGAGTACCTAGTATATCTATTTCTTCCGTAATCCTTGCCCAGTTCTTTCTTTGCTGAACCTCTTTCTTTGTCCCTATTTTATCCATTACACATATCTTGTGGGTGCTCGGGCAGGGATCATTTTGATTCCAAACAATGGAAAGTTGGCTGGGCTTCAGTCCCATTTAACTATTTAGAGAAGATTGTTATCCCTCCATCCATCCATCTATGTAACAAGGTAATATTCCTACATCAAGGCGTAGAAGGCAAATTAACCATAAATATAACCCAGGAAAAGAACATTTCTTATCTATGAGTATGTGGAAAGCGCAAACATCTGCTGATGTGCCTTTGTTCTTCAACCCCCTACCTGACCCGGGACTTCACGGGAACAATAGCACTCCAGAAAGCGAGGGCACCAGACTTCTGGGTCAGGAGAGGGAGATTCTGCCTAACGGAGAGACCGTTTTAGCCTGCTGCGTTAGGGAATGGTTTCCGGAGCAGGGGCGAAACTCGATGCTGTTTAGCGAGGATAACTGTCCAATTCTTTCGTTCCCCAAATTCTGGGACGAGCGTGCCTGGGCAGGACTGCGGGGCGCTTTAGCAAATCGGTGTTTGCAAAGCGGCTTCTCCAACCGCCGCCATCCAGGCATCTCTCGCAGGGGGGGACGGAGGACGTTTCTTAGGGCGCTTTTCGCATTTCCCGGGGACGCTCCCCCTTCCACGTGGTTGAGGTCGGCCGACAGTCGAGTGGCGCAGCGGTTACGCATCAGCCCCTCGGTTTTCGTCCGACGCCGGCGCGCCTCCGAGGCCCCACGCAGACCTGCATCCACCCGCTTCGCGCTCCCGCTCTCCTCCCGAAATGTTTTATTTAACATGCTGTACCGGAAGAAGAAGCCATCTTCCCTCTCTTCAG